TTCCAAAATATAAATTTTTATTTAGTATTATAAATGTTATACGACTCTGTCAGCTCTATACATACATTTAAATTTCGAGTGTAAATAAATTCTTCGGAAACCAGAAAAAGGAAAGAAAATTTATTGTATTACGATACGTTGTCGTAACGATTACATAACAAAACGCGTTACAACAGTAATTTCAGTGAGATCTGCGGTAAATATAGAGAGACACGGACGTATTCCGAGTCCCGATATTATTTAGAATAAGTGGAAGTCGATGCAGCGGTTTTCTGCACGCACACAGGTCGAACAACGAAAGTTTCTGTGTAATGCCGACCATAAGTTTTGAAGCCGATGTTCAGTGAATCGAGAACCGATTGCCTCATGGATATTCATTAATTATGAAGATTCCGCGTAATTCCTGTACGCCAGATTTTTTAATTTATGAAGCTCGTAAACGTTGCTGATTCTTGAGATACTAGGAATTCAAATACCTCTATACGAGAGTTAGATTGAAATAAGTATTAGTTATTCTGATGAATTTTGTTGAGAGTTAAAATTAAATAGTCTATTCTAAATAATATCAACATTATTATCATAATATTATAATTATTTAAGGAAATTCGAAAACTTGTACATATAGGTACTTTAAATTTCTCTAAAAATGTATAATTTTGTAATTGTAATGCTCATATGTACTTATACATTAATTTATATATTAATTTATATTTTGTACCTGTACATTTAGTGTCAGCACAAAATTGTTTCTTAACTAAATTAAATTTATAATTGACTCCCTTCTGGTATTCAGAAATAATTACCTTTTATTACAAGTTAAATAATTTATATTTTAATTTTCGAAATTTTATACATTTGAAACATTAGAATCATTTACAAAATTTTGTTCATATCATATTTCATGATATACTGTTTAATTATTTAACTTGTAAATGCAAAACAATTATTTCCAAATGTCTCAAAATGATTCATTAAAAATTCTGGTGTTTCTAGGAAGGAAAAGCTTTCAAACATTCTAAAATATGTATTACATCAATATTAACACTGAAACAAAATAATTGTTTAAAAAGAGCAGAGTACCAACCCGTCCAACGTACATTATCTCGTTCCAGAACTCTATTTTCCTAACTGTATATCCTCAGGCCAATTACCTACCTTGTTCCTAAGTTCCCGCAAAGAAAAATTCTATCCTAGTGATCGAATCCGTACTGGAAAATCGTGATCGCCGTGCCGCGTTTTATTTAGTCTGCGTACTATGAACCGTAACGGTATAGGATCCAGTCTGAAACTTCTGACTGAGATAGTGTATATAAGCGTCTGCACGAAACATATGCGGCAGAAAGAGGATGAACGTTCATGCGGCGCGGCGAACACATAGAGCCAGAACGTACATAGACCAGAGCGTGTTTGAGAAACAGCAGACAGATATCATGTGGTAGCGACCGCAGAGGTGTAATGATATAATGACAGGGACAGAGCCTGGTCGGAATTGATGGAATCAGTGCTGTTGCCGCGTTAGGCCTGGTAATCCGGCCTAACGCACTCGATCCATTAAAGGCCCCACACTGATCTCAGAAACAGATTTCATTCACGGGACCGACCGGACAGAAGATTCACCCTTGATCTTCCTTGTATCGCGAGGTTACGGAGAAACCGAGATTAAACGTGGAGAGCTGCACTGATTCTGTAAATTATTGCCGCACGTTGTACAAGACATCACAAAATCTCTGACATGATCGCTGGATGCCGGAGGAACACTAGAAATATCAAATAGGTCAACTTGATCCGTGCCTGAATTCTTCTTTCCCAGTTATTAAAAAGATAACAGATGCTTCTTTGAGAAGTTATTATAGAAATTGGTTTAGTAATACGCGAACCGAGGCATAAATTAATTGAAATATTAATAGTTGCGTTCTTAGAGTCTGTGTAGAAAAATTGAAAGAAGTCAGTTTGTGTGCTCGGTAGTTCTAGTGTTAACCAAGGATTGAAAAGATTCCGAACATAATTGTTTGAAGTATTCCGAGCATAACTGTTATTAGGTATATCGGTTATGGGCTATATCGGTTTCGTTCCAGTTCTTCGGTATCGATATTGTATCGGTTCTATATCGATTTTATAACTGTTATTTTCGATTTTTCATTTCTTTCAGGACTGAAAAATAATAAAACTGAAGAACCGAAACTGATATGGTTTAGAATTAATATAATTAACAACAGTTATGACTCTATTTCAATTCTCTATAACTGTTTCTAGAACCGGAATTGATATCATAACCATTTTCAACCTGGAATTTAACCTTTAGGATCATGATTTTTTTACTACTACAAAAATTCCTATCGATGTATTTTCGTCCATATGTTACTGAAAAAATAAATAAAAAATCGCTACTGCCACAGTTTATTATTTAAATAGAAAGATTTGAATGTAACATCGGTTTCACGCCATGCAGTCGCTTTCTTAACCTTTTTACATAATTTTTTAATTTCTAAAAAAAGTTATGCTACTCGAATATGGGTGAAATGACAGTCAAAGTGACAATATATGTATAAATGACTGTTCAGCCAAATTCTCATACAATCTTGCAATAAAAATGAAGAATAGTGGTGCAGTCACGAATACGTGAGATTTTCGACAAGCCTTTAATGGTCCATATTGCTGGTGGAGGGTTAATGTTGAATATTGTGTTGGAGAAGACGGAGTAATGTGAGATAAGATCTTGACATTATAAAGTTCAACGTAGCTGGTCGTACCACCTTGGAGAATACAATGTGAAGCTGCGTAATAGTATGTAGTTGTTGGCAGACTATTAGAATGTTACACAATGGTAGAATTGTGGGGGATGATAAATGGAAATTTTGAACATGTAGACTTCAATGTTACTTGATATAGAACCTGAAAGTTTCATGTAATGCAACTGAAGAATGTCTAAACAAGATTGAACTGGATTTTAGATTCATTAAGCTTGATGTTATACTTGGATATATGATGTAATGTAATTGGGGACTGTTTAAACGTAATTAGATTAAATCTTAGGCTCGTAAAACTTGATGTCACGTAATAAGATGTGATGTTATGTCACAGAAGAATGTCCGAACCAGATTAAACGAATTTTAAATTCGTATATCTTGATGTTATCCTTTGAAGCATAATATAAGATGATTAGAGGATGTTTAAACTTGATACAATTGGATTTCAGATTCATAACTAGAAAAAGTAGAGACAACAGTTTGTAAATATAATATAATATTAAACTTGTATCAAACAATGCTGATGTAAGCTTGACTCGTGCAATCTAGAACTTACTGATGCCGATGTAATATATAGTAGAATTTGTGGAATGGGATAAATTGTAATTGCAAATTTTCCACTGACGAAATAAAGATGTCTTGGATTTGAGAAGGACATTTAGAAACTTCCGTTACACGATTCTTGGTTCATAGAATCTCGTACAATACGACACGAACTTCAGGGAGACGATACAAAATGACTATGAACTTGTAGAATATTACATAACACGACCCCGGACATGAACCATCCAATAGAATGTTGGATCTGCCTCGTAGAACTCAACGTTTTATGACTCTTATCTTGTAAAATTCAACGAAACTTGTCTCAACCTTGTAGAAGCTGATACAACACGACTGCAGTCTTAGTGAAACATAACATTACCAGGCGCACATGCCATCTGCCATGGTATGAGCCCAAGAACAATGGATATCTGCACTACAGGATAGTAACATTGTGAAATCTATTGTAATAAAGTTTCGAACATATCAATACTGATGATCCCAAATCTGTAGCATCGTTTACTTTAAAATGAAGATCTTCAAAGTCTTGGAAAGTTACAGGAGATCCAAAATGGCTAAAGAAATTTAAGAGACTCGCAAATTACAAGAATTTGAATGTTCCAAATACTCTAGATATCTCGAGATATTTGTCAAAAATCACAGATATCCATAGATTCTTGGAAATTTGTTTAGGAATTTTAGAGGTTCTAATAATTATAGAAGTTTCGAGAATTCTAAAGGTAAATAGAAATCCTATTGATTCTGAATGGTCTCGAGTTTTAGAAATTCCATTGCCCTGGGAAATGCTATCAATCTTGGATAGGATGTTCCAGAGATCCAATAAATCTAAAGAATTTGAAAAATCTTGGATATAAATTTGAAATTCTCAGAAGAGTCGTATAAATCATGCAGTTCTGATGGATTCCATGATTCCCAGAGATTGTATGAATTTCAGATTATCGAAAGTGCAAGAGAGCAATAGTAGCAAAAAAAACTGTCGATCAGGAGTCAATATAAATTTCAAGAATCATTAATTCGAAATCGTGACAAGGTAATTGCATAATTATTAGGATGATTATAATAGTGTCTGTAATCGAATGCAAATTGTTACGGAAATGATGTGTCACGTAGTCGGAATTCATGAGAATTCGAAGTGGGAAACTCCGAATATAAAAAAAAAAATATTTGTGTCTGAACTGTTACCATCTCAAATTCAATTTATCAGATTCCACTTTGATCATCGATTAGTAGAAATTGATAGTCATTAGGTTCCGTAATTGCGTGTTTTGATTGATTCGTTAGATTGAATTCCGCCGACCGTTACCTCGTAAATCGACTTACCGATGAAGAACGATTTTGTTACGAAATCGATGATAGTTCGACGAAAAGGAAGAAAAAAAATACGGTATTCCGCGGGCGAGTCGTTCTGAAAATAATGCACCAGTGGGTCAGTGTCGGAGAAACCATTAGGTAACGGTATGTTATATCCGGAGTTTTGTTTAAAATACAAAAAGGAAAAAGAATAATTTAAAAGTTTTGTAAAATACATGTGTGGAACGTTGATTAATGCAAGCGGTAATTTATTTTTTTGTGACATTTTGCGTATCCGGCGCGTGTTTCTCAAAGACATATCTGTTATGTATTGAAATTGTAACGATAATACTATCGAAAATTTACCGAATAACTGGAAAATGATAAGAATTCACGAATTTATTACTATGTCCTAACGAGGTGTAGTATTTAATGTGATTCAAGTCCATGAGGAAAGATTTATTAAAGCAGGATAAATTATTATTTGATTGAAAAAGTAAGTTTGTTTCACAGTTGTAGTAGATATTAGTACATGGACATTTAATTTGTGAAATTATAGGGTTCCATTATAAATATTATCAGCTATGAATATTTATGACATTGTAACGTGCGTTTATCATTCATCGTGATGAGGAGAAAATTAATTAATTAACTTGTCATTTAACCATACGTATCTACAGTTGTCTTTTTTCAATTGTGGCATAGTATTTGCTCACATTAATTTATATTACATTTTATTTATTTTAATTGCTAGAGATTTGTTTTACCTATATTTACAGTAAAGTAAAAGAGTAAAAGAGTAAAAGAGTAAAAGATTAAAAAATCAGCCATGTAATAGATTGAAGTATAAAGTACTCTTAAAAATGCCCGAAACATATCGAATTTATGAAAAATTCTACATTTTACTGTTTTGCACAATTGTTAGTTAAAATATATACTTTACTAGATACAATGTAAAAAACATATACAAAATTACAGGAATTATCGATAATATCAATTTCTTGTTTTCCTTTGCCGTTTACATGCACTGTTCATACTCCCTTGCTTTAAAAATGTTTTACAACGCGATTGAGAAGAATAATAATGATAATAAAAATGACAATTAAATTTATTTCAATAACATGTTCATTATATTCAATGATATTTATAGAATTATCAGTTTTAGTCAGATTTAACAGTCTCGCATTGTTGCTTCTGTATTGAAACGATATTGCCTAGTATAATCACAAAGTATATTTACTTTATTGCAGATATTTCGCGGACACGCTCGCGCACAACGAAAATGGCGGCGGCACGGCGACTCACAACGGTCGCGTCGAGGCGGCGGTTCCACAACAACCACCGTCTCGACTACCCTCGCCGATTACGCAGAGCCATCCGGTGTCGAACACGTGCACATCCGGCACCACGACTGTGCCGAACGGCGCCACCTACAAGGATCCACAATCGTACGTTCATCCGTAAGTTGAACATGATACATAAACAGTGAGCAATGAAAATATTTTGACAAACATATTGTTCCATTTGAAAATAAACGAAATGATTTAAAGAATGTTATTGAATGAATCTCTTATAAATAAATAAATAAATGAATTTCTTTAGAATTATTTTTACTTGAGAATTTTAATTGCATAAATATTCTCTTGAATGACCATTTTATTCCTAATTTATACAAAGTTGTTAATAAATTATTTAATTAAATTCAAATATCATTTTGTAGGCTGAATGCTTAATAATCGTAATTGCTTTAAGACTTAAATATGAAGAAAATGTTTCAGTAATTTGGAAAAGTATCTTTTACTCTGATAAATTATTTTGGTACATTAGTAACATACAGAGTAACTTAACTAGCGAAAATATAATTGTACAAAGCAATAAATGTTTGTCTTTATATTTCCGCTAGTTTAGATTAATTATGAAAAACTTGTTCAAGTAATATTAATATGCGAACAGTTTTGTTATTCATAGATTACTGGTACAATAAAATTATATTTGATGATGCAACTTCGGTACAGAAGAGCAATATGGAATATCCGCGATGGAAATTCACGGTGAAGTTACTATATATGTTTTATTTATATGGTTTCTTTCGTGGAATTTAATTTTGGAGTTTCTTTTCCGCTAGAATCTAGAACTACCCTTGTACGGTGTTTCAACTTTCGTTTTATAACACTCACGTTCGCTACTTTCCCTGTTTAACTTAATCGGACGATCTATTGCAGAGAAAAAGATAAGCGAGTCTACATAATGAATGTAGTAACGCATATATGGTCATTCATAGAGTGGTCGTGTTAATTAGTAAATATATAGGTGCTTTGAAAAGCAATGTCGTGTTTCCATTAATGTTTTATGTGCACACGAGATGGTAATATTGTTAACTCTTGAACGACCTACCATCTATGAGCGATGCGGAAGGCGATACTGGATCATTTATGACCCATTTCATAAATCTTCTAATATGTACTTTAAAATTAGTTTCTCTATCGAATCATATTATATTGAATGTTATTATGGCTTTTCAAATGACGGTAACACAGTGTACATGGAAAAGTGCAAAATAAATGTATAAATAATATAAACTATACTTTACTCGATATCTGCACGATTTACATGCAGATTATTAACATTACATTTTTTCATAGAATTGACTGTTTAGCTCTGCGTGAATATATTTCATTGATAGGTCGAAAATAATTCAGAATTTGTCCAATACGGGGTAATAAATAACATAAAAATTATGAATGCACCAAAAAAAGAATTATTTTATAGGAATTCTGAAAACTTATTATTTAAAATTTATGGTTGGATATCTTTAGGTTGCGCGCTTTATGCATTATTTACATTCATTTTTGTGCTTTATTATTATTCGTAGAATATACGATTTCTTAGTATTTAAGGTAATTAAAAATGCGGCAAATTTTAATGACTTTTTGGAATTCTTATTTGGATTTCTATAGAATTTTTAAAGGCGAATAACATTTATTCTTGCGATCCGATTTCTGTACACTACATATGTAGTAATGTATAAACATTCATATTCTCATAAATATTCGCGTTTTACATATTCAATGTGAATAGATTAGATCTTCTGCTTCTAGACACGCGTTGCCCGAAAGTCCACCGGACAGTGGCAGCGAGCCCCCGTACTCGCCACCTGGTCACAACGACACTCAACATGTGCACTCGCCACGTAAGTTACGAACAAATTCAACATTGAGTATCTTGTATTATTATACATTTTATTAAAAATTAATTCTTCGCAATTCTTCTTTACTTTAATCTCATTTTAAATATATTTGTCTTTAATATGTAACAATACGTTTTTCGTTATTAGAATAATACTTCCTGATTATTACTATACGAATACTTTTTTGCTCCGTTCTAGCTGCGTATTGTAAGCGATTTCACATTTTCTATGTTTCGATCATTCAATTAATGTAACTGACTATTAAAAAAATTGTTAATAATAAAATATAATAATATTACTTCTTCTTTATCTTATTCTTGTTATTATTGTTATTGTTAATATTATGAATGTAATTTTACTACAAAATAATGCACAAGTAATGTAATATACTAAAAAAAGTGTTTTTGAATTATTATAAATGAAAGAATATTGATTTTGATTTTTAATTTCATGCATGAAACATTTTCCATTTTTTCATGTATAAAACCGTGTTTCTGAAATATTTAAACAATTCTACTTGCTATACTTTCAATTGTATTTCCTTCGAATCAATTTTTTTTACTTATACCTTTATTGAATCTAATACACCTATCACCCGATTTACACGGAAGACCGGTTCCTCAGAATATCGTGTAAATCGAAAACAAACCAAAATTTATATAATTTAGTCAGTTATATATTTAATTAAATTCATTTATTTCAACATAAAATAAAAGTAAAATACTATGAAAGACGTAAAAATGTCAGGTTGTTCGTGAAATGACGAATATATGAAGCTATAAGTAAACAATTCATTTTATAAATACGAGAAGTATAACATTCATAAAAAATGAAACCAATAATTGAATCAAGAAAGCAAACCCATACAATGTTAAGTAAATTATAAAAACGTTACAAAAACTATACTTGTTTATGACCAACCAGTAAATATGGCATTTTAAAAAATTTTGATTAGAAAAAGTACAACAATACACACTCCCTGCTGTTAAAGATTTACTGAGCTTTACTGCGCTAATTCACATGAATAGTTTTTGTATGTATACAAAAAGGGGAATTCCCTTTTTTAGATTTAATGCCAGTGTTACCAATCGAACGAAATAAAAAATTTACTATCGAAATATCTGCGCAGCAAAAATCTTTACTTTTAACATTTTTTAAAAAATCTTATTTTGAAAACCGTGTGAAAGGAAAATCGTGTAAATAAAGTATCGAGTAAATCAGGAGATACGTGTATTTCAATTAAGAAGTGTTAAGAATATTGTAGTGCACAATCTACTTTCTTCTTTCTTCAGATCAAAAGGTAGCTCTTCAAGAAATGCTTCTCCACCATCAAGGCAATCAAGCAAACTACGCGCCGAACCTACTACCGTCCTCGCCAAGGACTTTAACTTCGTCCACGGATCCGTTGTTACTATCTCATTCGGTCCTGACTTCGCATCTCCAGCCAACAACCCCGAATCTACAATCTCAACAACCGATAGGACAGACTCTGGTGCCACTTCCACACGAGCACAGTCCTGGTAATATCAATACCTTGTATTCGTCGCTGCAATCAGCGCCGAAGAAGAGGAAATTGAGCCAGGATGGGCTTGTTCACGTCAAGCAGGTGCAACGAGTAAACTTTCTTGTTATTCAGATTCATAATTTATCTTCACTTATATTTTTAACGAATTATTGTGTTATAATAATTGCACTTTATTTAGCGATAGCTATTTAAGCACTTATCTCACGCAGAAAAATAAAATAGTTGCTTAATCTTATGAATGTCGTCATTGCTTCTGTCTCTTTCAAAATAACAAAATTTTCCGTACCTAAGTTCGAAATTTTGTAACTTTTTTGCTACTTTTTTGACACCCGCTATAATAACAATATTGAAATTTATTTATATGCTTATTTTTAAATATATTTGTTACTTATCTTTGGGCAGACAATTATTTGTCATCTTTATTTGTTATTTTGATATCAAATAAAAACTTTTTAACACCGATTTGACTATATCTATACTATTTTACGAAGATTTGCAGTCTATCGATCCCTTTCTCATTTTTGTCAATACTATAATTACAGTTTCCCTGTAATATTCGTCTTATTGGCGGTATTGTCGCACAGGAACCGGAACTGGGCACGGTGGAGCACAGTTGCAGCAGCAGCAGCGCGGTCCTCGATGGCGACGAGGTTGCGGACAACAGCTATATCGACGCCAGCTACCAATGCATCCGGTTTCATCCCTTTCAGCAGACATCCTGGCATGTTCTTTGCGACCACAATCTGAAAGAACTTCCAGTGCCGCATTACCGTGTCGACGCGGACAAGGGATTCAATTTCAGTAACTCCGATGACGCGTTTGTTTGCCAGAAGAAAAATCATTTTCAGGTGAATAGGCACATTTACTCTAGACCCATATTTCTAAATCGTTCAGCTTTACTGAAATTGACATGTATAAAGATGGCTCGATCTTATTTAAACCGTCAAACATTTGTATTTTCAACTGTTTTTAGTGGTATACTGAATGTTGCACAGAAGTCTATTTAACTATTCTTTGTATATGTACTTTACTTTCATAAAAATATTTTGTTCTGTTAGGTATTAATGATATGTATGATGTAGCTTTTTCAAAAAGTGGGCCACTTTTTCCACGATTTTCCTTATACACTCCTCGAGGATACAGAGAGAAAGAATAAGCTAGAGAAATAAGCCCTTTGAATTACAATTTTATTTTAAACTGTCTTCACCGAGATTATATTATTTTCAATAGTTCATTAGAAGGAAAAACAATTTTGCGTTTATTCTAAACTTGCGTTTACTATACTGTAGTATACATTAAACATTAGTGTTAAAATGGTACAATTTAATTTCGACTTAAAGGAAGAAAGTAATATTTTTATACTAAGGACATTAAAAAATTGGAATCTTCACTACGAGTTTTATATGTAGTCATAAAACAAGGAGTTGAGATCGTCGTGATTTTTCAGATTACTTGCCACGCTCAGCTCCAGGGCGAAGCTATATTTGTCCGGACCGGTGAAGGATTGAAAAAGATAAGTAGCTTTCAATTACACTTTTACGGTGTCAAGGTGGAGTCTCCAACGCAGACAATCCGGGTTGAACAGAGCCAGAGCGACAGGAGCAAGAAACCGTTTCATCCTGTGACGTAAGTCTACTAACAATCCTATGGATAGGTGTTTTATAAATGGAGCAGTGTTCCACGATGTTCTCGTTACACTTGGTGTAAAATATTTTTATTTGTGACTATATAAGAAGTTTCTTATGGATAGAAATCAAAGTTTTTAATTGTGAGTTGAATGGCTTTTTTAAAATTTCGATGTTTGCTTAACTCTGTAATACATATAATGGTGTATTCAATTAATATTAATACTGTATTAAATTATGAGGTATTCGGTACATTTTTGGAAGTAACTTTTTTCCTAAATAAACCACTGACAATTATTTAGTAACAATTAGACGATGAAAATAGTTGGAAAATAAAATATGTTTATACAAAAATTAGTTTTCACTTATTCTTATTTACATAAAAGCGTTAATTATTTATATAAAAACAATATTAATCTGTGGAACACTGTATATAGGGTGTCTTAGGCTGTTACAGATGGCATAATTTAAAATATTTCAACGTACACCTGGGACACCCTCTAACTATAGTAACTCTTTGGTTTACTTTTTATATTTGGAGATTGCACAAACAATTTTCGGATCCCTTGGTGCGAAATTCTTTCATTCTCGACGATGTATAAAAAGTTACTGCGTTACGCTAAAATAGAGCTGCTTTCAGGGTGGAACTGGGCGGTGAACGAGTGACCAAAGTAACCGTTGGCCGTCTGCACTTCAGCGAAACGACTAGCAATAATATGCGGAAGAAAGGAAAACCGAATCCGGATCAAAGATATTTTCATTTGGTCGTTGGCTTGCACGCTCACACCGCTGACCAAGCTAGCTACCAGGTGGTAGCTCACGCGTCGGAAAGGATAATAGTCAGGGTTGGTGTCTTTCGCTATAAGACCATCATGACGAACAAATACACAATATAATATTATACATAAAAAATTAAACAATTAACTTAATTTATTAATTTCTTACATTTACTAATTAATTCATTAATTTATTATTAACTTTTTATTATTAATTTTACATTCCTTATGTATCATTATTTTTCTGTAAGAAATGATGAAAAGATATACAATGTAATACACGTATTTGTGCTTTATATAGGCAAGTAATCCAGGTCAATTCGAATCAGAAGGCAGCGGTGTTGGTGCTGAAGGAGGTTGGCAGAGAGGTGCAGCGCCAGATAGCGTTTACCATGCTGGTCGAGTTGGAATTAATACCGACAGACCCGACGAAGCTCTGGTCGTTCATGGTAACATGAAGGTACGATATTTGCGCTAAAATTCATGATTTCAAACACTTATCTAACATTTTGTTGAATTATTCTGCATATTATTATTATAATATTATTTTTGCTCATTCTAAAGTCCTAGTTTCTTAAATATAAATCTTACTAATTGTGTTCTTACTTACTTATTAATAACTTCTAATTTTTATTTCAACGATTGTGTATCTTGGCTGGTACACATATGCGGAGTGAGTCGTTTAATCGTACCAAACTCTATTTGCTGGGTAAAAAAAATGTTTGAGGCAAAAGTTGTTTGACATCAAGAGCTCAAACTAGTTGAAGAAAATACGCTTGGTATGATTAATACCTAATGACTTTCGTTTTAAACATTTTTTAAATGTGATAACTGGTTTACAAGTAAATTCAGGTGGCACGGTTGAATGCCTCACCCTGTATATATTAAAGTTATTTCTCAAAACTAACAAAGGAACCTTTTGAATCAGCACACGCCGATTTCGTTGAAACTTACATGAGACATAGTCCTCAAGAAAATATTTGACACGTATTTTTTCTTATCAGCCAACGTCCACTTTGAAAGGGTGAAAACACTCCTGAAAGTTCAGAGTAGAAAGTATATTTTTTACAATATCTCTAAAACTAGAAGGCGTAGAAAAGAAATATAAATTGTTAATTTTGAGAGGAGCAATTTGAAAAAAATGTTTGTTCCTACACTCCCTAATTTTAGAGATATTGTAAAAATATACCCCTGAACTTTGAGAAGTGTTTTCACCCCTTCAAAGTGTACGTTGGCTGATAAGAAAAAGTACGTGTCAAATATTTTCTTGAGAATTATATCTCACGTAAGTTTCATCGAAATCAGCGTATGCTGGTTCAAACGGTTTCCTTGTAAGGTGTAGTTAAGTTAATTGAGACTCTTATGATATATTTTATAACTAGGTTCGCAAGAAAATATTCATATTTATTGAATTGAATTCAAAGTCTTGTATTCGTCTCGAACTCGATACTATAAGGTATAGGCTTTACATCCCTACAATCCATACAATTGCACCCAGGTGACGGGTCACATCGTTCAGCCCAGCGATGCACGAGCGAAGCAGAATGTGCAGGAGGTGGATACGCGCGAACAATTGCGGAACGTGCAGCAATTGAGAGTAGTTCGGTATAGATACGCACCAGAATTCGCGCAGCATTCTGGCTTGGGTATCAAGCAACAAGAAGACACTGGTGTGATAGCGCAAGAAGTTCAGCAAATATTGCCGGAAGCAGTGCTACCAGCGGGCGACATAGTTCTTCCGAATGGTCAAAGGATCGAGAACTTTTTGGTAGTGAATAAAGAAAGAATATTCATGGAGAATGTTGGTGCCGTGAAAGAATTATGTAAAGTAAGTTTCTCATACGTATATATTTTTAAATCTTTTATCTCTTAAGAAAATTCTGTTATCTTCTTCGACATATTATTTTTAGATGATCCTCTATTGCGTGAAAAAGATATAGTTTAATTCCGAATTGTTCGGTTGTAGGTAACAGATAGCTTAGAGACTCGTATAGACCAACTGGAACGAATAAACAAACGGTTGGCGAAGTTGAAGAGAGGCGACAGCCTTAAAAGTTCCATTAGTACAATATCTAGTATATCAAGTAATAAATACTCATCCTCTATCAATAATAAGACCATTGTACAGGGAAAATCGAAAAAGAACGAGCAGCAGGACGAACTTCTTTGCAGCAATAAGTTCATCCAGATTATTATCGTTATTCTTATCCTTATTATGGCATTTTGGTAATTAATTTTAATTTTTTTTCGTACATTACATCTATTATATTTACACTGCATAAATTTATACATAATATTTAATTCTTCTATAATGTATTATATAAATTATAATATTCATTTTAATGTATTTAGTTTAAAGAAAAGTCTGTTTTCTAAGAAACAATTTAACTTTCAGCTTAGTCGCAATGGCAACTTTATACTTCTTAGAATATCAGAAACGTAGTAGCCTCGAATGGTCGGCGGTAGCCAGCAATGGAATGTTAGCCATCAGACCAGCTCATCCATCTACGGTGTCGAGTACGCCTAATTACGATCCACGGTACAATTCGTTGCTAGACAGCACTTTATCGTCGTCGTTCACCAAACACGGATCACACACTAGAGGATCGGACGGTAGTTTATCCGTGAAAAGCAACGTTTTCTCCACTCAAGCACCGCACACGAAACAGCAACTTTATTCTCAAGAAATCACTTGGTATCCCATCAGTAACTCGGGACCCCAACCGAAACATGAAAAGAGCAGGTTTGTAATAAAATATAAAATTTAACAAAATATAATATTATTTTTACTTTAATGTTAACATATTACCATCATTGGCAGAGGAAATGAGGTTTTCTAAACTCGACATTTGTAAATTGCACTAACGACATTTTATTTTGCAAATAAATTTTAAACAATATTAAAACTATCAAGCGTTTAATATGATTATATATTGAAATCCTTATAAAAATCATAACATTACATTTTCTTTGGTTTCTTTATGCGTTCATTACAGTATTGAAGTGAAACTGTTTATTTTTAAAACCATTTTGGATATTTAATACTTTCAAGATGTTAAGAACTGCGAAATAAGAAAATTTAAACCCGACATTTTGACGGGTCCGGTAAATCTAGTGCTAATTATAAATTATTTTATTTATTTCTAAATATTTTATGTATTTATGAATCTTTGTAGCGAATTTCCTGGAAATTGGCTGGGCAGAAGCGGCGCGGGCGCTGTTCCCAGCAACGTGGATGAAAATGATCAGGGATCGGACGTGGATTCGTCTTTGACCAAAGGTCCGGTGCCTATTGGTAGACCAGTGAGTTGTCCTAGACATTTCACTGAATTCGAGAATCCTTGTCAGGTAAAATTAAAAGTTACTTTATTTGCTGTATAAAAAATCCATTATTTCTTCATTTTTTACAAATTTTGTTTTAATTAATTGCTTTCCAGGTATACTGTTGCACGGCAAAAATTCATCAATTTGAAGATCCTCAGCCGGATCATCCTCCAGAGAAGAAATCCATTTGTAAGTACTATATTATGCACCACAATCCTCGTAAAGAGTTAACTAAATAATCAATCTGATACTATCAGTTTTATGTATAAAATAGGGTCATTAACTTTTCCAGCAGATCATATAGAACAGCCATTAAATGTACATGAAGAGAAACGTAAGATTAGTAAAGGTTTTCAGAATGGTATCAGTCCGTCGGATCCAAGCACGCAGACGCTTGTAAAAGAGGTAAATAAATAAATAAATATATAGATGAATTTCATATTATAATTCTATGAATCTTTATTCATTGCAGAATAATTATAAATATTTACATAAGAGGACGAGGAGGGAAAATGGTGGAGGAGATTGGGGCGAGGTAGCCAGTAATGCTGCTGGATCATTGCCACCAGAACCCAAGCCACAATTGTGGATAGTGGCAGAAAGCTTTAACACTTCTCTTGATCAGAAGTATTGTTCCGCATCTCCGCAGGATACCCCGAACAATGTTACTTGCATTATACCCCTGTCCAAGTATATGCCAGATATACACCTTTCTTTGCACTTTGTGTAAGTTTTTAATGTTTCTGTTATTCCCATCCTAGATCAGTAAATTAGAATTTATTATACTATTTAATCTATAACTGATTTTATTATATAGCTTATTATTATTACTTATTATAAATACGTAATGTTATTTAATATTTATTTTTTAATTTTTTATTTAATATTTATTATTTAGTTTTTGTCATCCATGTTTGTTGGAATTAACAAAAATGTATTGTTGTATATGCCTACATAACGTATATGATAATGATTATCTAATTCCCATTTTTATTTCTCTCATGTTAAACATTCTATATTTTCAGTGGAATGCCTTGGTATTGGCAAGTTGTGCAACAATGCTCTCTACCAGCTAATTCTGGAGTAGATGAATCGGTGATATGCAATCGAAAATATACGATGCAGCAACCAGCTCAATATATGGAAACTAACAATCAACCAGGAGATCAATCATTTTCTCTTGATGTAGCTCATTATCTCAGGAAGACATTAAGGTTTCGTGTGCCTACTGTACAACCTCAAGAAGTAATTAACTCCAGATGCTTTTAAACTGTTTTAAATGGTAACGTTTTGAATATCAACATTAATAAATATATCTTTTTTTCCAGAATATTTGTAAAAACAAACATGGTGTCGATTATTCGGAATACACATTGCACTTTTACCGAGACTGCGATGAGTGAATAACTTCCTGTTGCAGTAAATGCAATTCACAGGAAATTTTATGGCAAGAGTTTACATTTGTAACTGAAAAATTGTTGAATTTATACAGCAGGACCTATTCGTGCCTTCGTAACAACGTATTCCGTCTATTTTGTCGAGCTATAAAATTATAAAGAGTATGTTTGGTAACATAGATTATCAAATGAATCTGTAACTGTATTTTATATGTTATTGCAATATATCATGTAGTGTGACAATGACGATTAACAGATACAATTAGATTTTACAGACTCAACAAGTAAATGTAACGTAGCGGTCTACAACGTTTCATTTCGTTAGACATGTTCGTTGAGGATATATTGGATATTTTAAAATATGAAAGTATACCGTGTAAATGTAGTTGATGGACGACAACGAGTTTCTTGTAATGTTCAAAGAAAATATTCTTTACACTCTTCACTGGAAACACAGGAGCAATACTTACGTCTTACACCTTTATCCAATCAGATTTATAGATAATTAATATACTACGACACTGTCAAGTGTAAAATATTGTACAAAGTGAATGGAACTAGTTAATGTTAAACCTAAATTTTAAAGATCATTAAATGTAAATATTTTTTCATACTGCAACAAGAATAACGCCCATCAACTACGATATAGAATTAGTATATTATTTCTGTAGTTTTTACACTATTTATACTTGTGTACAAATATTATCAGGCAGGTCTACTGACACTGTATTGTCGACAGAAATTTCTATAGTATCGACATTTCAATTAATTCTATATTCTACATGTTCGCATTAATTGTAAGCTATCGATGCTACGTCTCACTCTATATAATATTGATTTTACAAGAACAAAGTTCGTGTCGTAACGATGTGACAACAAGTGATACAATCTCGATTTAATTTAATTTTGTGATTAACAATCAGACGAACAAAGTCGAGGGGACGTACAAAATACTATTGTCATTATTTCGTTTTAATTACTATTATTTAAAGAAATTAATTTCTGTCAATGATTTTGTTTGAAATTCGTATCTTTCGTATGAAAAGAACTGAAGCGAATTTAACGCTTATTCATTTAATTTAATCCGCTTAACGATACATGATTATTTAAAAAGAACGATATTATAGAATTTCAAGTTCCTAAAAGGTATTGTATAATAATTGTGTAATTTCGTATGCTAGAGTTAAGCGAATATGTTTTATTTGCACCAACTATATATATACACACATATATATATATATATATACTATATATATACATATGTATATATATATATATATACTATATATATACATATGTATATATATATATATGTATATATATATATACATAGTTATTAATTGCATGTAAGTAGATTACCACTATTATCATTATTGTTGCTATCGCTGCTATTGTTACTAAAATATTGAAATAAGACTATTGCTGCTGTTATTACCTAATGTCACTATGGATAATCAACATATACATTAAATTCCATTTACAATTTTAATTTCGTAGTTATAAAAAAGCTTTTGTGTTGAATAATTCACTTTTAGGAATAATGGAAAAGTCTCAAAAATATTTAATAATCCATCATCAGTAGGTTGGGGATTTTATGCATTTATAAACGTAAATGTATCAAATCTAAGTGCACAAAGATTTTAATTGAACTTATATTTTATTTTCAATCGAATAAAATCCTTCTTAAAGCATATGAATATTTATAAGCAAGTTTACTGTTATTTTTGTGTTGGACAATATGCTAATAGAAACAACGTAATTGAAAGGTATTGTAAAAATTCATTAATTAATTAATTGCTTTGAATTATATTATGCTTCCAAGAATCGTTGAGAACACTCAAAATTGTTCACGAATTTTTCGTTTATGCCTGAGTATAAATGGTATACACAAGATTTCTGCCGTCCATGCGTTTTTCCTTATTGAAACAATATTTACTCTAACGTATAAACAAATATTAAACTATTCACCGATATATTATATTACAATCGGCGTGTATCATTTTCATATGCGTGAATCGTATATAAAAAAAAATTTATTAATGAGCTATTGTACAATAACACGTAACTCAAGTGCAAGTGTAACGTAAATATTATAAGTCTTCGTTATCACGTAGAATAACTAGATTATTATTCCGAATCGAATTTCCATATGACCATTTGGAAATGTAGCGAGCGTACATTCATTAATTGTATTGTTTAATATATAAACAAACTTCTCAACAAGGAGGAAGTTACAAAGATGACGATCTTCTCAGATTTCTTCGTATCAATATTATTGTAATACGCTGCAATCTTTACGATTAATGTATATAAAAAGTTTAATACGAACATAATATTGATTAGGACACCCTGTATATGATGCTACAGTAATATTAATCTTGTATTTATCGTTATATTTGATTGCAGAATCCAATAAAAATGATTCTGTGTATACGTTCTTGCGAGTTGGTACCAGCGTGATGTATTTAATTCACATAGTATAATATTCTGTTAAAGAATTTGACGTATTATCGACACTTGTACATTTTTTCATTATCATTTGCGCCACCGATGAATATGACGCTTCACTCTCACACGATGTATCGCGTTGTCGTCGAGTTTATTATTATATATTTGTTATTGTTTTATATTTTAATGTATTATATTAATTTCGACTCGTACTCTATATTAGAAGGTCATCGTATCATCTACATGCTTTGAACCATTCATCGGTCACGATTAATTCATTGATGAATATTAATTCATGATTACGAGAAAATGTGAGAGAGCAAGAGAGAATGTGTGTTTGTGACGATCGAAGAACTACCCTACGCACAATTAACTAAAGTGTCATAATGTTCGAACGAAAATGGAAATTTCTATTGTCGAGCTTGAACTTTCTGTTCGGATGAACGGAAATATTCGCCTTTAATCTTGCAGACACTTTTTAGGTGGATGGATTTACGCGTTAGATAGAAAAGAAATTTCTGTTTCAGTGTAAACGACATAATCGATATCATTTAGGTAACCTTAGTAAGATTTGTACATACATTGTAGCGTAGCGAAATGATTACAGTAAAATATTTAGACATAAGGGAATTGAAGTCATATATTTATCGCATTATTGCACCGACAGTAACGAGAAAAAATGAATGAATTGCTCGTTGAAATGGAATTTTCTAACGGTACTCTATGTATTATATTTTCTTATCATTGCTAAGCAAACGGATCAGATGGAGAGAACACATATCTTATTTACTTCAGTTGCAATATAGTTGTTATCAAAGCGATATTATAAATTTATTTTTGTTGAAGGACCTTCTTGATCCTCGTTTTAATTTAAACGATGGGAATTCGACGAATACGGCAATAAACCATGTGTACGTGTGAACGATTGATTCGCTAGTCTCATTAGAAAGTTCGTTCAGATGACATGGTTTCTTTTTTTCTACTGCTAATGTACGCGTATTTCTTAATATGGAGAACTTTGATCGCTCTAATCTCGAGCATTGAATAGTACTATGTTATGTATATTTGAACAAATCAGCATGTAAATGTTATATTCGCATATTTATGAAGGTACTGTTAAGACAAATGCATATAAATATATACAACAACAAACTTGTATTTGTAGGAAAATAAAGATATTGCTCCAAAAAATACATGATTCATTTGTTTACACATCTCGAGGAAGTTAAATATAGAGTCACTTAGATTTTACAAAAAGTAATTAAAATGATGCCTTTTACATTTATTTAATATTTCATTTTTCCGTCTATAATTTCCTGTGTTCTCAAAATAAAACGATAATTACACTTCTAAATTAAATATATTTTTGAGTTTCATATACATGTCGAAAATTATTCTATCTCGTAAATATTTTAGAAATTAATTTACCTTATAAATTTTAGAAATTATTTTACTTTCAGTAAAATGTGGAAATTATTCTATCCTTTATTATATATCTTGAAAATTGTAACTTAATAAAAAATAGAACAAATTATTATTAAATTACAAACGTAAGGATTGGACAGGATCGTCGAATGAAACAATACATTCAAGATAATCGCATAATTTATATTTGTATATACAGTCACTTTACAACGCGTACTTTAGTTATACATTGTAGCTCACAAATACTTTAGGTCAGTGAACGGCGAGTGGTCGCAGTAAAGACGGTATCAAAGTAAAAAAACTAATTCAGATGATCGCTCTGCTGCGTGGGTGTCCTTCGCACGAAACAAATACGACACGGAACAGTTTTCTTAAAGGAAGTCTCAGCGATTCGTTTCCTTCGGTCGAGTATGCGGGACGCGTCTCGCTTATCCCGCTGGAAAGCGATGAATTTTTAGGTCATCGAGCTTTTACGGATAGAAAAATTGATTCTATCGTGTTTACCTAGATTGGCAGTAAATAGTCAGGCGTGGATTTGGATCATCATTCGTTTTCTTACTCTTTAGTATCATTGTCAGGTTTCACCGTAGCAGTAACAAAGTTAATTAATCGACCAAGGTCACACTTTCCATCCTTAGATTCGTACTTCCGGTTCTTACACTTGGAGTCTTACATATGACTAATTTTTTCTTTAATTTATATGTTCAATATATTCTTTTCTTAATCATTTGTATAGATCGACGATCTGGGCATACAGTAAACCATACACTTTATTCTTTATTGTATATAATTACAATAAAATTAGTTGAAGATTGCTTAATATGAATTAATACAAACATTCACCGCAAATAATGCAACTATTTCTGTTACGTACGTTTCAATAGAATGTAAACTTGAAGTAAACCACTACGAAAAGCTTTATTAAGCCACGGTATAGTTTCTCACAAGGGTTTTGCGAAAAGATAGTCCAGTATTATAAAATAATCAATTCCTAAGAATTATTTTAAATATTCTTATTTTTCATGGTATATATAATTTATTAGTTACTTATTCTCGCCAGGAACACATGTTCATTTAAAACTTACAATGACTCACATTGAACAAGAAATATTATAAAACAATTATCATTTCATGGACAATAATTTAATACAACGATAAAATGGAATAGTATAGATCTATGTAAACCAGTGCTAAGATAGAATTTCTGTGACCTTGGTCATTAATTCCACTTCGACTGCAGTTGTCCATTTGGATCTTACATTGGAGTTTCAATAGTTTCTTTAAATTTCCAAGCAAGCAGGACAACATCTTTATTGGCTTAGTTCGTACCGTTCCGTCTCATATACATGGTACATTTCACTTGTAGGATAATACATTTTTCGGCACGGGTATGCTAACGTTACATCGATGATCATTCGTGGAAGAAATATGGTCCTCTTAACACTAGAACTACAGCGTCCGACAAAATGATGAATTTCAGCTTTCTTATTTCATAATTATTGGTATCTTAAAAGTGTTAAATATTTAAAATGATTTTAAAAATAGATAGTTTCACTTAAATACTATAATGAACGCATAAAAACATCGAAAAAATCTATTGTTACAATGTTTATAAGGCTTGCATATTAATTATATTAAATGCTAGTTCTAGTGTTAAGGTTAGTCATTCGATTGTCGTTACTACGTGATCGACAGTGGAAACTGATAAACGCAATAAAGTTAACAACGCTTTTGGAACATTTTATTAGTTTCATTGTAATGATGTTCTTGGGAAGTAAAGTGATTTTATTGAAAAATTGGTTATAGGGTTCCAAAAGACATTGGAAGGACTATAAATACGTTTTACTTTAGTTAAAAGTACACTAGCGGATGAAATAATAATTTTAATAGTACTAAGAGTTACAATCTAATTATTTAATTTTGATAGAATGATATTACGACTTATAATTTAATTATTGAAAAATATAAAGACCTTACATTAAAAGATTTCATCTAATAATAATGTTCATTTAATTTTTATTAACGCAATTGTTCTTGTCTTTTTATCGAATTATAATTTCATCTATTTAAATTGTAACTAGACTGTGGATTTCATTCGTTTATTCTGATACACGATAATGTTTATAACAATAGCATTTAGAAAATAAATTGTATTATGTCACTTTATGTAACTTTAAATGGTCAATAAGACAATAGTCATTTCAAGGGAAAAAATCGAAAATAATGGAAGAAAACGGAACAAGATAGGAATTATTAAAACGACAAAAAATAAAAATAGCTATAGCTAGTAATTATTTTAACCATAAAATTAAGTTTAAAATCTACGATATTTATAGGATATCTAATAATATATAGCATACCTATAACACATTCCAAGTAACGCAACATATGACGCAAAACATTTTTACAAACTAGCAATGCATTACAAAAGTAACAAACATTTAATGTACAAATGGCACATCAAAGAATGTAAGATACACGAACGCAAGAATTTTAATATGAATTCATAATAAAAACCAATTAAATTGTAATTGAATAAAGACTACAACATATCTCTGATTTTCACGAAATACTCTATGAAAATGGCACTTCCCATAATATATTATCAGTTAAATATAATTAGAATAGGATTTCGCAATGTCGATCGATCGAAGCAACAGTTCTCCGTTGGAATTCCAACAATACCCGTGCCTCCGTTTGCCAAATTAGCGCACAATCGTTTCCCATCTCTCGTTTCCGAAGTTACTGGCCGTAAATTCGTTCCGATATGTTGAACAATAAGGTTCCTTTAGAGGATAGAAAAAATCACGCATCAAAAGTGAGGATATGTGAACGATATTGCTCGCGATCATTTCGATTCTCGCGCGTTTACCAACGAGGAACACTTTTACGTACAGTCGTGACTATGATCGTCCGAGGACGAACGTTACCATCGAGCTTCCTCGGTATAGGGGCCAGTCGAGCGCAATAAATCGATAGATATGACGAAGATATGATCCGTTTGCGTTTACAATAAAAAACGATATATCAAAAACGTTCGTGCAAGCATACCTTCGAAACGAACGAACGCAATAAAACATTTGTTTTAAAATGTATACGGGGCCAAGCTTGAAGACGTTCACGTGATTCCTCGGCAATTACGAGTTTGGTCGATGCTCGTTCCTTCGAAGAATCTTCAGAGCGACGCGAACGTCTTCGTCGAACGTTTCCAGACAGAAATTGGTCTTACATATACGCTAACACATTCGCTGTCGCTGACGTAATATTTCGTCCCTTTAGAAGCTACTTCTGTGTATAGCGTTCTTGGATTCATACGAGTATTGATTGGAAAATTATTGTATAAACAATACGATTTTTTTACGTTGTAAAAAATAGATTTTTTCAATAGATGCTAACAAGTATTGAAACAATCATTGACAATAATTTTATAATTAGTTTGAGTAGTAATTGTTAAGTTTAATAATAGTTGAAAATGCGTAATAAATTAGTATTGTTGAGTGTCTTGTACAAGTATAAATTTAAAAATTAAACATACTGTAAGTCAGTTTGGTACGTCAGTCAACCTGTGTATTATAAGAAAAATATTTCAAAGTGAAATTGTGTCATAAACAACTTCCAGTTTTAGTGGGGTAAAAAATCAGCGGCAGCGAAGGTATTAATAACAAATCGACTTTTATAGTATAAAAGATCATGCGTGTCGAGGATATGTATCGTGTCCGCACTTAAACTCTAATTATGCAGGAGTGCGCTCAAAATAATCTTAGAATTACAGTAAGCTCCGGGTTAGTTCTCAGTTCGGATTAGTGCAACGACTTCACCTCGGATTAGCGGCACTATAACCACTTTAACTACCGTTTACCACTCTATTACACTCTGCTCTTCCACTATTATTGTGTATACCTCAGTCTCAATACATTTAGACAATATACTCCCCGGTTTAGCGTTCTTTCAACGGCACGATTTCGTTGCACCAATCCATGCCTTACTGTACTTAATTCATCGCCGGTTTCTTATGTCTACGAAACATTTATTTAGTTAGTTTACTTTATTTTTACAGATTAAATGATTCGGTGACTGAGCTGGAAAGGTTCGACGAACGTGAAATTGCGATCCTTAATAGTGAATTCGATAATTAACACTTTGCCCGCCGTGGCAGCCAGATATCTTTTAGTTTGACAATAGAAATTAATATATTAGGGTAAAATATTACACGAAATAATTGTGATCGATACGTTTAGGTAGCTAATATTCTATTCAATATAATGCATCTTCCCAATGATGCATGAAAACATTTTCTAGGAACAAGTTTATTAAGTGATCTAAATATTGCTTTACAATTCCGCTCTTAAAATACAAAGCACCCAAATATCGTTTTTTCTCGTGTGTTAATGAAGAAAGTATATCATGCATTATCGATTAAAATTATACATTGATTTAAACATGTTTAAATTCATACAGTTTGGTAAAAGGTAAAAGTTATGATCGTTAAAAATCATCGCTTGTATTAGCGATGAACAATATTTAATAAAGTATCTTTAAAAAAATTAAATTACAAATTTAAAATTGATTAATGTAGGGTGACATTTTTTATATAGTATTATTATAAATCATTAGTGTATTGCTCACCACAGTCTTATACAGTTTCAACATCGTTTACTCTCCTTTAATCAAGATACTCGTGAAACTGTATAGATTCCAATTGTCTCTTTCCTTGTTATATTAATGATACTTTACTTAAATATTCATAGTAACTGTTATGGGAAAAGAACCGAATATGTTGAGAAGCAACTTTTAATTTGGCAGCCAAAGTGTTAATTTTACGATGAACTTAGGCTTCCGGTTCAACGCTACGTTCGACGCGGTTGATGAGCAGAGGGAAGAACACGTTGACAGAGACAACTTCTTCGTTTCCTGACGAGTGACGGAGAATTGAATGTGAGAAGGCCGTCATAACGACGGTTTTGATGAACATTTACGATTAATTAGGTCGTCCTGGCGAATTATTTAGGTCCAACGTATGCACGTGCGCGCGCGCGCGGGGTATACACTAAACGACAATTAATTCGTAGATTAGCGCGTTAGATTTATTTACAAGTATTCAAGGTGTCGCATCATTTGTGATACACTTGACAAGATGATGATTCCTGAAAAGGAATAATTTTTTTTTAGCTTGGAAGTTAAGAACACAATTTTCCTTAATATAGCTGTGTATGGAAGAAACTACATTTCGAAAATGTATCTGTTAACCATTCGTGTTAATGATTAGTAGAAAACCTGGGTATTAAAAAGATACAGGAGTTTTATTTTTTAGACATGCAATCTCTGGATTGGATAGTATTCTTTAGAATTTGGTATTCTTTAAAACAATTATTTTAAAATGATTCCTTTGCGAAATATGTTATAATTTCTATTTAGAAAACTATTAAACAAAAACAGTTATATTTGAGTGTATGAAGTAATCCAAATATAATTTTTTATGGTAATAATAAAATTACTGAGACATGAATATTTTTTGAAATTTCTAATATTATAGTAAATGTTTTTTAATCTTTATGTAAACTTATAAACCAGAACATATTTTATTTTGCACTTTGATCTCCTTTTCCATAAAAAATCAATCCTGCGGTGGATATACCACAAACAATGTGTCACCCTTTATATGCGTTGTGCAATTGTCCTCTCTTTTTATGTACGTTTTCACGTAGACACTCTTCAGTGATTATCCAATTACACACAAGCGATTATTAAACAGTATGCGAGTCGTCTGAGAGGAATAAAATATTTCATTAAGAGAATAAAGATATGAATAAACTGTTTCGAAGTGCTTCGAATCAAAAAAATTTTTGCAGACAATATTTTATCGTAACTTTAATCGCTTAAGAATCATTTATCCGTTCTCAGATAACTAGATCACACTTATTATGGATTGATGATTTTCTGTCGACAGTCCGGGAATCGAATCGTCTCCCAGGAATATTGACAATCTCAAATTCTAAAGAGACTGAGCAGACTAGAGAATATAATTAAAAACTGAATTCAGTACCAAATAAATAGTATTTATTAAATATTTTATGCTTATGTGTACCTACGTGCCAACAACTAGGTGCCAACTAGGTGTTAAAAACTTAAAGAATACTTCTATAGAATTAAATTGAACAGATAATTAATGGCCGATATAAGCTAAAGAACAATCTTCAGGATGAAAAATAATATAAATGGAAGTGTACAATAGCTAAAATTAGAAATATTAATATAATGAAAGTAAATTTCCTTGGATAATGGTAAAATTAATAAATACTCTATTATCATGAATTGATAATATTGTAAATAATAATACTTCTCTGTTAGAATAAATAAAGAACTGACAAATAATTCAAGCAATTAAACCCTATAGTATCTTTTTAAAAATTAATATTTAAGACAGAAACAAATTCTTGTCGCTTCATGTCAACCTACATAAAAGTTCTTTCAAATCTGATTAAATCGTTACATCATTAAATAATTGTAATTAATATTAATCTTCATAAACAATGAAATGCTATTTTCGATCCTAATCCAATAAATCATTTTACGTTCATAACAAAATAATTATTTCGTATCGAATTCGTTAAGGAAGTCTATAAAATCATAAATTTATATTAAAGGAAATCCAAAAAGCAAATGTATAGTTGATAAAAAGTAATTTTACGAACATTCAGTCGTAATATTCTGACAAATTACAATGCTAAATATGCCATCGCCAATAAAAACATTCTGAATTAATTAAACCTAAAAGTTATCAGTTAAATAAATAGAACTACAAAGAGTGACTTAAAAATGGAGTCAAATAAATGACAGGAATGACTCGTCGTACCAACTGAACAATTGAAAATCTCGGTTACTCTATAAAGGAGACGATTCGACGCCATTATCCACCGTCACGCATTGATTTCGCGTTTCGTCAATTCTAACACGCTCACACTCGAATCGATGACCCTGTATCAAGAAGAAATTTATCGTGATCGTTAGACGATCTGCTGTTGTAATTTGTACCGAACTACGCATACACTTGTCTCGCAAAAACTCATCGGCACATGTTCCCCAACAAGGTTTTTTTAATTAGAAACAAGACATTCAGTGAATATAGATAACGTGATTCACATATTTCTCACTAAGACCGAGATCCCATGCGTGTTACTTTCAGTTTGCGTACTGAACGCGCCAACAGCTGTAAATATATCATTCTAGGCACAATTTTATTTTAACAGAACAGTGCAACTTGCGATGAAATGTATGCGTAGTTTGAATTTCGCACGGACTGTCGAACGGAAATGGAGTGTCTTTGAGGCCTGAAGGTTCCGCGACGCTTTATCATTCGAAACGAATTGTAAAAAGACATCGTTGACCATTAAATTCTCCGTATACCCTACGTAGAATTCGATTGCGGTGTCCATTAAATGGAATGTAATCTTTATAGTGGTGTATATATAATATTTTATATTCATTATTTATATTTATATTTATATTTATATTCATATTTATATTTATATTTATATTTATATTCATTATTTATATTTATATTTATATTTATT